TCCGGCAAGGATCACCAGCACTTCCTCGACGTGGGCGGGCTGCAGCGTGGGCTCAGCGGGCTGATTGCGGATGCGGGGAAGCTGGGCCTGAATCTCGACTTTGGGCCCCTCGTCCGCCTCGAGGGGAGGGAGGTCCGGCTTCAGGACCCCTCGCTGCTGATGTGCCTCCGGGACACGTCCAGCGCCGAGGAGGTGGAGCAGGAGCTGGCGCGCGCCTTTGGCGAGCTGGGGGACAATGTCTTGCTGCTGGCGATTATCCCTGACCAGAACAATAACGCGCGCCCCTTCTTGTCCGCGGCGCCCCAACGCACGAGACTCCCACCGTCCCTCCCTTTTGTCTCACGTAGGCGTGGCAGCACCCCATCCGGGCGACCAACAAGGCGCTCTGCTCGCGCATCGGCATCGCGGTGCAGCACTGCAAGGTGAACAAGTTCAAGTCGCCTCCGCCGGTGAAAGCGCTCCGCTCCTCGCCGCTTCTCTTGCGCTCTCTTAGACCCGACTTCCGGCTACAGGGCTACTGGAGCAACCTGCTGGACAAGCTCAACCTCAAGGCGCTCGGCACAAATTACTACCCGCTGTGCGAGGTGCCCGGCGGCGGCTTGCAGCCCGGCTTGCAGCTGCTGCGGGAGTGCCCGACGTTGCTGCTCGGCTGCGATGTCCACCACGCCGCGCCCGGCTCGAGCAGGCCCTCCTACGGCGCGCTGGTCGGCACGATGGACAAATTCTTCTCTTCCCACTACACCGAGGTGCGGGCAATGACTGGCCGGCAGGAGTGCATCCCGGTAGACGACATGCAGAGCATGGTGCGCGAGCAGCTGAAGGCCTTCTACCGGTACAACGGCATACCTCCCCAGCGCATCATCTGCTATCGCGACGGCGTGGCGCACAACCAGTTCGAGGAGGTGCACGAGGTCGAGATACACGCGATTGAGCGGGCGTGCCACGCGATTGAGCAGGGGTACCAGCCTCAGATCGTCTTCATCGTGGAGCAGAAGGGCGGCGGCGCGCGCTTCTTTGCGAACGAGAATGGGCGCGTGCCCGGCCAGCAGATGGGCAACCAGCCTCCTCTCACGGTGGTCGACACTGTGGTGGTGGACGAGTCGACCTTCAGCTTCCACTTGACCCCTCACCACGGCATGAAGGGGACGTCTCGCGGCAACCTGTACTCTGTGCTGCGCAACGACCCCAACCTCTCCTCCGACGACCTGCAGCGCTTCACGAGCCAGCTCTGCCACCTCTTCCAGCGCTGCAAGAAGATCGTCTCCAAGGTTGCCCCAAACTACAACGCTCACCTCGCTGCGGAGATGTGGGGGCTCAAGGAGGAGCGCGAAAGCTTCTCCGACACGGCCTCGGTCAGCAGCGACGCCGCCGCATGCGATGTGCACGAGCGCCTGAAAACGCGTCTCTTCTACACATGAACGCATGGGCCGGGCGCGTTTGTTTTGATCTCTCGAGATACGTTACCGGTTCTCTCGTAGAGGGGGGGAGTTTGGTCGAAGAACCGAGGACACGCACCGAAGTGCGAAGAAGTCACCGAAGGCGGGGCGGCCGGGGGCGGGGCCCGCTCCACCGGGCCCCGGACGCACACCGGTCTCTGGGGGGAGGCGGGGCCCCCCGGAGGCACCGTGCGCCGCGCCGCAGTGCGGAAACGGGGCCCCGGCTCTACTAGTCTCTACTAGCACCGACTTCCCGATTAAGCTAGGTTAATCAGAGGGCAGATTTGGAGAGATCTCGAGGAGTACATACAGATAGACCCTCCAACCATCAGAAAACTCCGACCTGATCGGTCGTACTGACCGCCGACAGATCACTCCAGACAGCAGACAGGCCGACGTCTGCACGTGGCCGGCCGGGCGAGAGGCTTGACACGATCCGACCCTGCGACCCTGACGCTGCTGCTCTAGCTATCAGACAACTGCTGACTGCTGCCACAATGTGTGACCGGTGCTGGCCCACTTGGCGGCCTTCCCGGTCAGTGGTGAGGCGCAGTTCAGAGCTGTCGATGGCGCGATGCCGCACTGGTCCCACATTGGTGACACGAGACCACCACGTTTGCCGGTCCAAGAGAGAGGCACTGGCGCTGTCCTGAGAAAGTGCATGGTCCCTCTTGACTGCCCATGCGCGCGAGGCTGTGTAGGCATAGCCTCGAGAGTGCCAGCAGCCAGTCGCCGAGGCAGTTTGTGACGCGCATTGCGTCAGAAGCGTGCACACGATAGAAGGACACCTTCCTACTGACCGTACGATCAGGTCGTCACTGAATGCTTGATACTAAGGCCGCGAGCTATGCAGGTGGTCAATTGTGCAGCATGGCACGGTCAGCAGCGCCGACAGGCTGTCGCAAGGCGTGATAGCATGGCCGCAAGTACAGCGAATTCCCATGAAACAAGTAAAAAATCGCGCAAAAAAGAAAAAAAGTCCCGAAAAAATCGGCGCCTGCGGCGGGCCATGGGACCCCATCTCCCCCCCGCATGGATACCCTCCAGGGCCCCCGCCTCCCCCCAGAGACACCGGTTTACCGTACTCTCTCGACCCACGAGACCCTCCGCCCTCCGGCGGTCTCGTCTTGAACTCTTGATTACGATTACGAAACCTCGAGAGGCACGAGACGACACACACCAGTCGACTCGCACATACACACTCACATACAAACTGGCCCGCTCACAACCCACATCCTCCCGCTCACACACCCCACATCCCGCCGAAGTGGGCGGTCGTGGTCGCGGTGCGAGAGGTGGGCTGGCTCTCCGCTATCTCATATCTTTGTCGACTGGATGCGTGCCCACACAGCTGCCGCGTCGCGCCAACCGGCGGCGGGGAGCCAATACGCCGTGGCCCCTGGCGGAGGGGACCTCTCCACCCCTCCACCTCTCCACCTCTCCCTCCCCACCTCTCCACCTCCCTCTCCACTTCTCCCTCTCCACCGCTGCACTGGCGATGCCTCCGCCCCTCACGCCGCCTCCTCCAGCACAGCAGCTGCGGCGCCCCTCTTGTTGAGCGTCGCAATCTCGAGGGCGAGCTTCCTGTATACCAAATGCAACAAAT